AATGTGAAAATGAGAGAAATAGTTTTCCATAGGAAGAGGACACCAACTGATTATCCAATACAAATAGACACCCCTGAAAACCTACCTACAAGTAACATTATACATAATGAGTAGGTGTGTGTGTGTGTCTGTGTGTGTCTGTGTGTGTGTGTGTGTGTGTGTATTCATGTAACAACAGTTAATGAAGAAAGAGTCCACGGATTTGCAAGATTGAAAGAGCATGAAGGGATTTGTGAGAGGGTTTGGAGTGAAGAAAGGGAAAGTAAAAGTGCTGTAATTATAATCTCAAAAATAAAAGAATTATTTTAAAAGGTCATAAATTATGGTGGCACACGCCTTTAATCCCAGCACCAGGGAGGCAGAAGCAGGTGGGGTCTCTGAGTTCAAGGCCAGCCTGGTCTACAGAGTTAGTTCTGGGACAGCCAGAGGTACACAGAGAAACCCTATCTCCCAAACAAAACAACAACAACAAAAAAAGACCATGATTTTGACAGTTGGGGGGACATGAGAGGGGTTTGTGGCAGGGTATCAGGAGGAGGGAAAGGGGCTAGAATGTGGAAAGGTAAGGGGAAAAGTGGTGAAATTCTATTTCAATTTAAAATATAGTTAAAAGAAACAAATAGAAAAGTCTAAGTTGGCTTCTGGCTTATAATATAATATAGATTTTTAATAATGTGAGAAGTTGCTTGGTAAATCCTCCTTACCAATATATATGTTCATGTATTTAATACTGAAATTCATAAAAGCTTGATGTACTTTATTTTTGGTCCATTCATGTCCTTGAAAGATTTAGGCTTAACAAATTATCTGTTGAATGAGATACGGGAAGAAAAAAAACAGGTGTTTGAATTAAATCTAGAAAAATTAAAGTATAATTTAAATTTATATGTGTATATTCATATAAAATATTAATATATTTAATCATAAAAATAAAGGATGGTGGAAACGTAAAATTCAAATGTAAGTCTACATTGCATATATTTACATTTGCAAATCTCTATATGTCAGCATTTAATTCACAATGTGTTATACTTGTAATTTAATAGATATGCTGTTTCCCTCAAAACATCTTAATTGTGACAAAGGTGCCACATTGTCTATTTTAAATCCACAATAATACATTCCACTCTGGCTAACAGACCTTTTATGGAGGATGAAGTCACTTGGTCCTTAGATTGGTTCAGGGTCAGAACATGTTCAAGCGAAGTCATATCTAATCAGAAGTCCTGTGATTGCTATCTACCTAATTTAAGTGAACAAATTCTAGTTTCAAGAAGGTCTGTGTATTCCGTGGTATTATTTTCAAAACACTATTATCTAAGAAGGTTTTTAATGGTCATTAAATTTGGTCTTTTTTTTGTAGAAGCAAAGTGTAAAATGAATATCATACACTAAAAACAGAGCCAGAAACAGTGAGATTTCCTAACTGTGACAATCATGGTGGTTTGTCCTGGTCCCCATGTCTGGTAGTAAATATCCTCTGCCTTCTAAGGACTCACAGTGTCTTCAGAATATGTGTTTCTATCTGTCCTATCACATGGCCACAATTGTAGTACTGCTTTCATGCATTATCTCAAATTAGCTTCTCATCAAAGTCCCAGTAGAATGGTTAAGGCTGATGAGAATAGAAAATGAGGACTATTAAATGTAGTAATAGAGTTATAGAGTAATAGAATTATAGTGACAGTGACGTCATTGAGATGGAGAAAGGGCCAGTTAGAAAAAAAAAAGAAAGCTACTGTTTACATTAACCTAGCCCACTTTGCGGATCTAAGTTAAAAGACACTGTAGCTTTTTTCACACTTAGTAAGTCTTGTAGGCACTTTGATACAAAAAGCTGCAGGTACCTAGTAGGAAAGAAGTAAGAAGAGATTCCCGTGGTAAGGTGAGAAATCATGCTTAAACACTTGGGGTGGCAACAGAGGCCCACAGAAAGGAAATGCGTTTCCAGCAGTAGCACCAGTATGAGTGGGGAAGGTTTCATAAAGAGAGAGATTCTGAGTATTCTAACATAGCTATCTAGATCAGCTACTCAGTCGTTTTGGGTTTTTTTGTTTTTGTTGTTGTTGTTTGGTTGTTCCTTTTTTAGGACCAAAATAAAAATTCAACACTTTGGCAAATTTGAGTTATTTTTTGAAGAAGCAAACTCAGCTTTTGTTGTTGTTGATGTTTGTTTGTTTGTTTGTTTTGGTTGTTCCTTTTTTTAGGACCAAAATAAAAATTCAACTCTTTGGCAAATTTGAGTTATTTTTTGAAGAGGCCAACTCAATCAGTTTTATTAGTCATTGGAAACTTAACATTGAGTATCATGGTATCATGTTGTGTGTGTGTGTGTGTGTGTGTGTGTCTGTGTGTGTGTGTGTGTGTGTGTGTGAGAGAGAGAGAGAGAGAGAGAGAGAGAGAGAAATTATGATATATTCCAGAGGCTGTAGTTACTGATCTGACTCCAGAGGCTGTAGTTACTGATCTGACTTATTTTAAAAGCTTCTCTAGAATACATTTTCTTTGAGACAAATTTAAAATTTGTCTTTCCTTTGACTGAAGGATTATTTAATTTTTCTTGCACTGTTTCTGATAGTCTGTTAGGTCATTATAATAGCCTGTGTAGTAAGCCAGGAGTGCTGGGTTGTAAGATTTCTAGAAGTAGCCGAGCGGTGGTGGCACACGCCTTTAATCCCAGCACTCGGGAGGCAGAGGCAGGTGGATCTCTGTGAGTTCGAGGCTGGCCTGGACCGATAGCCTCCAAAACAATACAGAGAAACCCTGTCTCGTAAAAAAACAAAACAAAACAAAAAAAAAGATTTCTAGAAGTTCCACAGCAGAATGTGATGCACGTTTGAGTACAGCGGTCTCTCAGAAAGAAAGGAGCATAGCAACATGCAGTTGAGAATAATTCGGCTATGAATTCATGTAGCTGTAAAAATGAGTATGAGATGGGGACATTCCCATTAGACTGAGAACATGAGGCAAGTGTACTGCCTCGTCTAATAACAAATCACTTAGAAAGATTCTTGATGTATAAAAGCACAGCATTTGAGAATAGCATATAAATTCCTCTTGAGATCTTTCAAAAATTAAGTTAGCAGAATGCCTGATAAAGTTCCTTAAGAAAACAAACTTTATTGAGAAGGCACAATTTTATAATTTCATAATTTATGTAAACACAGCTGGTACAGAAACTTTTGCTCTTTAAAGGGGAATAAGACATATTTGAAATGGGGGTATCACCTGTTCTTATAGAGCTTACCAATTTTGGAGTGCCACTGAGTATTTCACGAGTATTCAAAATAAATTCAAAATATAGAGACAAAGAGACTTGAGGAAAAACCAGGCTAGAAACAAAATAACCTTTAAGTCTTCCAAGAGTCAAGCCTCACCTACAATATTAAACATTGAATGAGAGAGTGAGAGATTGTCAGACAGTAAAACAATAATTAATACTGACCTCTTCCGAGTAGACCTTTCCATTCTGACTGCTGCACAAGTTTTAGTTACTCTTATTGTCGAGATTTTCTGAGGTCAAACATAATTCAATTTTATAGATAGAAAATTAACTCAGACATCTGGCTGAATGTCTCAGCTCATAGAGAGTAGGCCAAAACGCTGTCCCATAAAGTTTGACTCTTGAGTCTCTTAAAGACAAGAGAATGGTCTTCAGGCTCTCACTGTGCTAAACTTAGCCTGTGGAAAGTGATGAAATGAAGCTCCCTATTCCACACAGCTTTGCCCCCAAGTGAAACCTTTCCATGCTCCCATTTATCAACTCATTTATAACAATCTGTATCTTTCCGTCTACTTCCTTTTAATATTAATAGGTATAGAAAAATGAACCTTCATTTTTTAAAGGCACTTTTTTAAGATCATCTTTCAAATTTTCTTAAATATATTTTAAGCTCTAGTATCCACATAAAGTACTTATTGCATTGTTAGTATATGCAAATATGATAAGTTCATGATGTTACTTTATAAATATCAAGCTCAACAACATTGAAAATAGTTGAAGAGTTTTTTTGTTATCATAAAAACTTCAAAATACAAATTTTTCAATGCCTATCCACATTTGCACTTGGAGAACACCTTGAAACCCCTTCTCTAAGTAGCTCACTTCAGATATATGTAGGGGGAGTATTTTTGTAGGAAATTGAAAAAAGCCACCTTTTTTGAAAAAAAGAAGCAGTCCTTTTTAAAAAGTTGCCTATAAGTCAAGTGACATTTCTAGCATCATTAAAGTAGGAATATTTGTCCCTTTTTCTTTGCATTCTTGTTAGAATGACCCTAGTCTTGTACTTAATGAGTTACTGTGGGATAATCTCATTGGTTAATAAAGAAGCTGCTTTGACCTATAGCAAGGCAGAATAAGTCTAGGCAAGAAAGCAAAGCTAACAATACAGAAAATAACAAGGTCAGAGTCAAAGAGAGATGCAAGCAGCCACCGGAGAAGCAAGATGCTTGAGGACAGATAAAGCCAGGAGCCACGAGGCAATATATAGATGAATAGAAATGGGTTAATTTAAGATGCGAGCGCTAGTTACTGATAAGCCTGAGTAATAGGCTGAGCATTCTGTAATTAACATAAGCTTTTGTGTGGCAATTTAAAACTGGACCATCAGGACAAAAGAAAAGCTCCACCTCCATTTACAATGAGTCCTTGAAGTATCTAACTGAGGAGAAAACCAGGCTTCCCTAGGCGGTATAGAAAAACAAACACCCGTAATTTGAAATATAGAAATGAGTGAGGTAGAGTCTGTCGTGGATGGGAAGGAAACTGGAAGGGGAAAAGGAAGACGGGAGAAGACAGTAATAAGAGAAACAGTTAATTTGTGTGAAAGGTTTCGCTGAACAGGAGAAGAGGTCGTAGGGTGTTCAGAGGAAGCCATGAGACCTTGGTCTTGTCACCTTGACACAGGCCCCGAAGACAAGCAAGTCCTTGGGAACAAGTGTGGGGAGAGAGCGGAGCGGGGAGAGCCCTGAATAAATCAAACGCTATTGCTTACTCCAAGGAACCGGAAGAACAGACGTGCTGTGAACTCTGAGAAAGCCGTGAAGAGTTAGAAGGTGGAGAGGCAAAGCCTGTAGAGTATGGTAAGGAAATTGAATTTTATCCTGAGAGAAATGTAAGTCAATGAAAGTATTCAACCTGAAAAGATGGATGTATAACACAAATAACAAATGACCAAAAGGCTGATATTGGGGTTCAAGCTTCAAGCTGAAGATCAGAGAAGTAAAGCAGCCAAGCCAGTAGATCTTGCCTCTACCTAGCTGAAATGGCAATCCTGTCTCCACGAATCCTGAGGCAAAAGCTCTGAATCTCTGTCTCCTACTCCTAATATTCCTCTCTCCAACCAGCCATATCCTCCTGTCTCCATCCACTTCCCTAGTTCTGGGATTAAAGGCCTGTGTTCCCAAGTGCTGGGACCAAAGGTGTGAGCCTGCTAGTCTTCACTCTTGTATGTGCCAGGCTGGCCTTGAACTCAGAGAGATCCATCTGCCTGTCTCCTAAATCCTGGGATTAAAGGTATGTGCCACCACTGCCTAGGTCCTACAACTAACTAGTGTGGCTGGCCTTGCTTTCTGATGCTTCAGGCAATCATTATTAAAGCGTAAATAGTGTATCACCATGTGGGTGATCCCATTAACGTTCATGAAATGTAACCCTATGGAAGCTGAATTCTAATATGAGCATATATCCCAGTAGGGATCAAAAGGAGCTTGGAGAGGGGTGTGTTCTAAAGCGACTATGTAGAGCCCAGTAAGTGAATACAATGCTTAGCTCAGGAATATGGTCTAGACAGAAAATCGAAGAGGATCCAGGACTAATACCTAAAGTTATCCATACACAAAAGCTGGGCAAAGGAGGAGAGAATAGTGAAATCACAGAAAATCGTGGGCTTTGTCTGGCCACCAGAGACTTGGCTGTTGTGGTGCATAACGTATAGATGCCTATGTCTTTGCATTTTCATGGTCATCTGATCTACTGTCGTTCGGTGTGACTTCGCCACACAAGATTTTAATTTGAACTTGCGTTCATAGCTTATAAAAACTGAATAAATTCAGATTGTATTAATAGTGTTAGTGATCATCTTTTGACCAATACAAATCGATGTGTTATAGAGGAAGGGAAGTCTACATACAATGCCTTCTTAAATATTGAAATCCAGACATGGATGACTCTGGCACTACAAATAACTATCCTATCAGGATGCATTAATAAGAGTTGCATTTCTTTCTGCTATTATGTAATACTTCTATCTCGAGAACAGTTGTGAGCTACCCACAGTACAACCACAGAGTGTCTAGAAGGATGCTGTGTCTAGTTATCCAATTAGCCTAGTCTTTCCCAAATTTTAGCTGAGTTTTCTTTCCCCTCAGGCTAAGTTTTTTTAAATGTTTTCAAAAGTTTATTGTTTTAAGTTTATGCTTAATATGGGATAAACTGTGTCTCGGAAAGAACAAAGACACAAAAAGCAAAAGCAGTTTCATTTGGTGTATAAATACCAACATAGGAAAAGCAGCCTATTATCCTGCTTGGCATTTTCCTGTTGAATTAAGTTGGATAAAAGTTCCAGATCGTCTTCAGGAAATAGTTGGTTGTTTTCTTAAACAGCAGTTTTCACTTAATACAGAACAACCCCGTGGCAAATGCCCAGATTTTTATACTGACGTGTGTAGTTTTCCAGAAGAAATGTCAAGTCCTGTTGCTTCCCCCTTAATATTGATTGATTAGATGCAGTGTCAGAGTTCTATTAAGAACATCTGAAATGGAGAATGCCTAGGAAACTGGGCACATCCATGGTAATACTAATATTTCGTTTCTAGAGAGGGTTTTTTGTTTTGTTTTGTTTTTGCACATTTCTCTGGGCTTGAATGAAGAAGATCGAGTTTCAGACTAACTGATGAAGTACAAACACTTGTGTTCAGATTCTGTTATTTTTGCACATGGATACACGGCCCTCAGGGGACTTCCTGATTCCTGGAGCTACACCTTAGCTTTGGGATCTCCTGAATCACCCAGCTGTAATGTAACAGTGAATGTCTGTATCCAATCCTAACACCTCCTGATCATCCTCTTCCCCCATGGGTCTCATTTGTCAAAAGTTGGCTATGAAATATTTGGAGCAAGAGTCTTGTTTTCTTCAGTGCTGAATAATCACATCCTTTTCACTATTTCTGATTGTATTTGAGTTTTATGCTAAAAGACTCTTAGAATACTTGCAGAGACTGGATTCTAATTTTAAAACAACCAATGACATTTACCTTACAGTAATAAGCTTGGATAAAATATCACAGTGTTTCCTATAAATTAAGCTTAAACCTATTTCTAGCTATTGTAGACACAGAGTAGGTTAGCAAATCTCATAACTAAGAATTACGCTTTGTATCTTTCCTTTATGTGTCATAGTCATGGAAAGAGAAGCCCATTCCAAATGTGTTAACAGGACATACTTGTTTATATGTACAAATGGATATATTTATATTTTATTTCATATGCTGTCTTGCTAGCACTTAAATGGCTGAAGGGTTGAGAGTTCTAGGCCAGGATCAACTACAGAGTGAGTAGTCAAAGGAGTAAAAAGAGAAAACCTGAAGCTTTTTTTCCTAAGTATCTGTTAATATCCATTATATATAATATTAAGAACTTAAAAACTATTTCTGAATTATAACAATACTTTACTAAGAAGAGATTAATCTTTTTCTGTCAATAACTTTTAAAGCATTGTAACAATTCGGCCTCTAAATATCAGAAATGCACCTGTGTGCTTGTTTGTAAGTGACAGGGTCCTGACTATGTATTTCAAGATGGCTTCAAACTTTTTTTCTGGGTTTTCAAAATAAGCCCTGGCTGTCCTAGAACTCGTAGACCAGGCTGGCCTCGAACTCACAGAGATCTCCTGCCTCTGCCTCCTGAGTACTGGGATTAAAGGCGTGTGCCACCACCACCTGGCCTCATATTCTTGATCCTCCTTTCTCTACCCCCCAAGTACTAAGTCTACCGATGCACCCCCAAACTCAGCTTTTAATAATATCTGTATGTTTTAGGAAGTCACACTTGGAGTGACTAACACTTGTCATCCAGCTCTCAAGAAAAAAGAATGGGGAATATGAGACCCACTCCTCGGACTCTTTGGCACTATACAATTACCTCTATGCTACTTTGGGAGGTCTCAAATCTGTCCAGGCTTTATGCTTTAGGGCATGGAGGTTTCAATGCGTTACACACTCTCCCTTTCTCTCAGAGATGTTGATATGTAATCAGTCCATTTCCTACTTGACAATTGTAACAACAAAACACAACATTGAATGCTTATTTGTATCCGAGTCGTGGTAAATTGCTTAGCCTGCACCTTAATTTTAACAACAGGTGATCGTTCCATGCTCTTCAACCCCTTGGGACTCCCCTACATCTCAGACCCGAAAGAACGTTAATTTGACTAGTGGTTACATCAACGCATACGCATGACACAAGGCCACCGTGTCCCATCTTCCTAACCATGCTCATGAAGCTTCAGCCTGAACCACATTCAAGTTCTCAAGTAGAATCCTTCAGAGTAGTTTTGATTCCTGTCACTTTCCTCAAGGGACCATCCTACAGCTAGCCCTTGCTCCAGCTAAATCTATCCTGAAGTTCCTTTGTTTCTTACACATTTGCTACTGAAAGAATCACACAAGCCTAGGAAAACCTTTGTGTGGTTTAACTAAAGTTAAAAAGAAAGAAAAGAAATATATAGAGATAGATATATAGATATATTATTTTGAGCCTCATTGTGTTGTTCATATTTTATTTTTTATTACTTTCCCCACTTTCTAATGGATCCCCCTTCACAAATTCATGCTTCTGAAACCTTACTTTCATTATATAATATACATGAAATTTCTAATCTCTTAATGCCAAAACTTTCTATCCTGATACACCAAGTCCATTGCAGTTTGACCAGAACGGTATACTTCAGTCAGGCAGGTGTACTCTCCAATCATTTTCCACTCTCTCCCACACAGAGCCATCCTTGAAGCCTTTTGTCTTTTAATTGCCTCGTCATACGTGCGTCTTTGTAAGCTCTCCCTCGTGTATTTAATTTCCTTCATCATTTGGTGTCCCATTTTGGTTTCATTTCAGTAGCTCTGCCCTATGAGCAGCATGCATTAATCTCTCCGTATGGAACTTACACCATCCACTACTTTTATTTTTTTTAGCAACTTATTTATTTATTTTACATCCCACCACAGTTTCCCCTCCCTTGTCTCCTCCCAGTCCCTCCCCTCCCCTCTGGTCCCCCATCCAATCCTCCTCCATTTCTATTCAGAAAAGGGAGGCCTCCCATGGATATCAACAAAACAGGGCATATCCAGTTGCAGTTGAGACTAAGCATCTTGCCTTGTATTAAGGCTGGGCAAGGCAACTCGATATGAAGATTGGGGTCCCAGAAGCCAGTAAAGAAGTCAGAGACAGCTGTCTGTCAGAAGTCCCATAAGAAGAACAAGATACACGACTGTCGCATACACACACAGGGCCTAGGTCAGTCCCATGCAGGCTCCCTGGTTGTCAGTTGGATCTCCGTGAGCCCCTGTGATCCCAGGTGAGTTGATTCCGCGGGTTTCCTTGACCTATCTGGTTCCTGCAATCTTTCCCCGTCTCTTTGGCAAGATCCCCCAAGCTTGGCTTAATGTTGGCTGTGGGTCTCTGTATCTCTTTCCTCATTTGCTGCATGAAGCCTTTCTGATGACTATTGGGCTAGGCATCAATCTGTGAGTGTAACAGAATGTCGTGAGGCACCATTCCATTGACATTTTTTCCTTCAGTTTTGTTTGGTTCTATCCTAGGTCTCTGGGCCATCCAGCCTCTGGGTCCTGGCCTTCCAGAGTATCAGGGTTGGGCTTAGCTTCCATTGCGTATGTCTGAGGCTTGGCCAGTCATTGGTTGGCCTCTCCTCAACTTCTGAGCCACCCTTACCCAAGTACAACCCATAGACAGGACAGACTATAGGTTGGAGGTTATGTGGCTAGATTGGTGTCCCAGTCCCTCCACTGATAGCCTTGCTGGTCACAAGAGATGACCAACTGAGGCTACATATCTACTTCACAAGGAC